TAGTCTCAGGAACCTACTTTTATACAAAATATAAGATTAGGTAAGACATTTTTGTTTCATAATGGTTAGTGAGCAGCGAAAATGATGTTATTGTGGAGCCGAAGAACAAAGATACTGCGTGTGGAAACTTTTATTGCTTTGAGATACGGGTGGAACATTCTTTTTGGTCCTTAGTTCTGTGGGGGAATTATGCCGAAACAACCATATTGTACATACATTTGTACTATTAGACATTAAATATCATATCGGAATGAAAGAACACCATATTCACAACCATCAGTGAGTTAACAATTATCACAGGCTTGGTATTACTGAAGATGAAAGTGTGTTCAGTGCACTGTCTGGTACTCATTGAAAATCATATTTCAAATCCACCTGTGTTTTAAATTGTAATGTGTTTCCTGATTTTCAGCCACAGCTAACCGTTTTCTGTTTTGTTTTTTAAATCCAGGGCAATATGAGCAGAGGAAACAGTTTATTCTTCCGGAAACTTCCAGCAGGAAAGGTGTACTCAACTGATCAGAAAAGATTTTTTTAAAAGAAAAGCAGGCAACGGTAGTTGTGCAAATGCAAGTAAAACAAATCCAACAAGTCTCATCTGGGGGGGGCTCCCTGTCCATTATTTTTTATGCACTTGTTTCTATTTAAAGCATATTGTATTCTTTATAAATTACAAAGAATTTCCAAGTCAGTTTTTCGAATTTGTAAGAACATGACACTAAATGGAATTTAATGGACCAAGTTAGCAAAAAAAAAAAAAAAAAACTCAAAATGTTATGACAGGTTGATCGGTCAACGCCCGTCCCCAATCTTTCTTTTCATACATGATTCCTCAACAATACACATTTTTTTTAAACGCGCTTCATATTGCATGTGATGTCTAACATGTTAATGATCAAATGGGTTTGGCATGTGTTACTGTTTTCCTTATTAGTATTATTATTATGGAATAAAAATGATCATTGTCCAATCATGTACTGTACATGCATATGAAACTCCAGATCTTTCTATCTATGACGGTAGTCAAGTGCTTCTATCAGCTGATTCTAATACCTAATAAAAGTAAACTTTGTGTCCAGTTTTTTGTCAAATGTGCCTTTAGAATTTAAGTTGGACATCAGCCTCAAGTGAAGTAAGTGTGTGTGTGTGTGTGTGTGTGTGCGTGTGCGTGTGCGTGTGCGTGTGTGCGTGCGTGCGTGCAAGCACATTCAAAAGCTTAGAGAACGTCACATATAAGTTCAGGTTTGAATGCATTTTGAGCTTGTCCTGAAATTTCACTCAAAGGCTAAACCTCCCTAACTTTTTATGAGTATTGTATATCGTCCTAAAAATACAATCCCACCATCCACAAGAAAAGAAAACGCACACTGACAGAAAGTACCATCACAGAACTAACCGTTTGAGGATAAAACCTTTGGTTCTGCTGCCTGTTACCAGGGATACAAGAAGTCAACAAACTCCTGTTCAAATGTCAAAAGATGGAGTGTTTGCTCCATTAATGTGATCTATAGTCTGTTCAATTCATTTGGGAGGAAAAAAAATCTTTGAGATAGACTGTAAAATGTATAAAGGGTTCAACATTCAAAATAGGAGACGGCACACAGGTACCACCGTTTAAAGTGCTTCTTAACGCCAAATAAACGTTCAGTAGGCTTTTCCTGACACTCTTGTTGCGTCTTACAGCACAAATCATGCTCTGAGGAGAACTTCCACACCGCAAAAAGGGGCCATTGTTTCAGGTAGTCAGTCAGGGGAAGTCTCCAAGAAAACTTCCGAAATACAGTACAGTAATCCTTCGTTTATCGCGGGGGTTAGTTCCAAAAGAACCAGTGATAAGTGAAATCCGTGAAGTAGTGAACTTTATTTTTTTACAGTTATTATACAATACTTAACTATATATACAATGAAATCAAAGACCAAAACCTGTTTTCGGGCCCAATTACAAAAAAAAAAAACAAATGGTTTCAACAAATAACTATAATAGTTTTTGGAAATTCTGTACTGTCGACACGCATCGCCGGCGACGCGTTCTGATTTAAAGGGTTAAAAGCATTAAAAAAATGTACCAAAAAATTCCGTGAAACAGCAAAGCCGCGGAAAGTGAACCGCGTTTGAGCGAGGGATCACTGTATACCTTTGAACAGTGGCGGACCCTGAGGGCCAGCAAGGCCTTCTCTGCTGGCCTAAACATTCTCAGAAAAGTAAATTTACTTTTATGTATTTTATGTTATTTTATCATTTATGTTATTTTATTTTCATAAATATGTAAACAAAATTATTCTCTGTATTCTTTATGTCATATTATTTCCACTGAGTTGAGTGGCTTTCAATGTTATTTAAAATAACATTGAAAGCCACT